TTATTCGCTATGCAAATTGGAATTTCTGACTCCAGCACATGCAAGAGATCAGATACCTGGCCATCATTTCCACGCTGAATACAAGCTTTCCAAACTTTATATGGCAAAAGTGGTGAAAAGCATGTCAGTCTGGCATTAACCAGATCTACCTGCATGTAATACACAAGTGGATATAGAGAGGTATCAATATAAATACTCCCACAGACATGGAAGCAGCTATTCAACATCATCCACAGCAACAAAAATCAAATGCTGCCTTTTATGGTTTGTAGGATTCCATGCTGCATTGAGCCTGTCACCTGCATAATCCCTCTTCGGTATCTTTAACCAGTGGGATTTAAATAAAATATGTAAATAAAAATATTTAAACTGATAAATATTTAAACTCACAAATCTAAAACAAACAAACAAAACAAAACAAGCCACCCAAAAATCATCTAGCAACTACCACCAGTGCCAGCAACATCAAGGAGTTTTACTCCACCTGCAGATGGATTTCCTTGCCTTAAACTAACATAACTATACATATTAAATAATCACTAATCAATTTCATTTTTTAGACACTTGAGATTTATTAATTTCCAAATTTGGGGGACAGTAGAGGGAGGGAGAGGAAGACTTTAGGAAGAAATATAACCTCAGTCCCATGTTACCTTTTATGTCACAGTAAGCCAAGACTCCATACGTAACATGACTAAATGCTTCAGGAGACAATACAAACTGTCAAGTGCACCACTTGCAAAGAATCACAAAAGCCAGTGTTTGATGTCATGGTTAAGCATTCAGAACATTAAAAAAACAAACTCTAAACTTCTAAAATACCCTCACTGTACCACCAGAGCTTACTGATACCTGTAACAAGAGCAGGCAAGATGCCTTTTTTTCAGAAAGAACTGTGTCAAGGAAAATAAAATATTCTACTGATTTCTCTATTACTCTTTTCTTACAACAGGCAGCATCATGGAAAAGTTTAGTAATTCTGACCCAGTGACATTCCTGGCTATGCAGGATTTTTTACATGAAGTGTCCATCTGTGCTCTAAACACTGATAAAGAACACAGAAGATTTAGGTCAGAAAAGCAGTTAAAACTCTGACAACACTGTATGTCCAATCGGAAACTCAGTGAAACACAAAACAGAACCAAAACTGGATCTTCTGTTATGGTGACCATCAAGACTGTGTATCCACTGACATGGTGGAAAGCTTTCCTAAAAATAAGATACTGGGTTTTGCTGGTGGGGTTTTGGGTCATCTGGTTTTAATTACAAGCACATATTTGT